TTTTTACTTCAACTTTAACTTTGTGTTACAGGAAAAAGCCAAAGCCCAAAGAAAACACGTGTACCTTGAGGGTCCAAGACATCAGAACCCTTGGGCACCCTGAGAGAGTTGCTTTGGCGGGCATGGAGTGTTAGGAGGGATGGAAGAGGGAGTTATCTTCTGCAGAAATTCCTAGAGCCGCCTTCACTCTCTGTATTCTCCCATACTTGACCTACCCCCAATACAATTCAATCCTAAAGAAATGGTTTGCGTGGGCTTGTTTTATTTTGTTTTGCTTCTTTTAAGCTCTCCAAAGCCTGGCTATCTCCCAAAACCGTGCATTGCTAGGGAAGCTGTTGGGCTATTGGTAGCAGGCGGCCTTAATTATCTACAAGACTTTGAGATGCAGGTCGAATTAAAATACTGCTATAAATGAAGCCTATGTAACTGGATTCCTAGAATAAGTCATTCTAGAAAGAGTTTGTCTAGAAGAAAATTAGTTTGGATTCCACTCCTGAAAGAAAATGCCTTTGCTTTTGTAGGTATCTATATGGTGAAAGCCTTTCATCACGTGGTAGATTGCTTGGAGAGTACGGATTCAGCCTCCAATCCATGGGTTTCACATCTGTTGGGGATTCAACCCACTGCAGACTGAAATATATTGGGTAGCTGGTGGTGGCCACGCTTGTGATTCCAAACTTTCGGGGAGCTGAGGCAGGAGGGGTTGCTTGAGCCTAGGAGTTTCGACCAGTGTGGGCAACAGTGAGAGCCTGCTGTCTACAAAAAGGAGAAAAGTAGCTTGGATACTGGGTGGCCCACACCTTAGTCCCCAGGCCATTAGGGGAGCGAAGAGGTGGGGGGAGGCCTCACTGGAGCCCAGAGAATTCAAAGCTGTAGGTGAGCCATGATTATAGTGCCATTGCCCACAGCCTGGGGCAACGAATGGACTGAAGACTCTCTCTCAAAAAAAAAAAAGAAAGAAAGAAAAAGAAAAAAGACAGAAAAAGGAAAAAAAAAAAAGAAAAGAAAATATTTGTGCAGAAAAGATGTTTGCATCTGTACTGAATGTATACAGACTTATTTTTTTGTCATTATTCCCTAAACAATACGGTATAGCAACTACTTACTTAGCATTTACATTATATTAGGCATTATAGTTAATCTAGAGATGATTTAAAGTATAAGGGAGGATGTAGGTAGGTTATATGCAAAAATGACATCATTTTATATCCAGGACTTGAACATTCTCAGATGTTGGTGTCCATGGGGGTCCTGGAACCAATCCCCATGGATACCGAGGGACAACTGTATTGGTTTTTAGTACAGAAACTCTGCCAGCAAACCATGTCCTCGTGACCTTTACATACACATGATAGAATAAAACACGCTCCTCATTCAAACACCAGACACACCATGGCCATTTCAGGGAAGATATCTCTGTCCCCTTGTTCCAGGAAATATTTTATCCTATCTCACTCTTGGTTTTGGTTCTCCTTGGTGATTCTAGAAGGTCAACGCCTGTGCAAGCCATGAGATATCACAGTAAATATACCAAAGACAGTTCACTTCACCATGAGTTATGTGCTTCCTGAACCCTACACCATAATTTTGTTCCTGGAGGACACAAAAAACTTGATTTTAAAATTTCTTTATCTGTCAGACAAATCACAAAGATAACAATAGCCAGTCTTCAAAGTATATCAGGAAAAAGCTTCTAATTGGAATTGGAGGCATGGTGAAATACACGTGGCTGTATTATAGACACTTCTGGCCTGATCTAGCTGAGGTCAGTGATAGCCACAAGGACTTAAGATCATGGAAGTGGGTGCCAAGTAGCACTTTGGTTGTCCTTTGAGAATAGACATTGCTACCTGGAAACTCAAATCTTTGTCTTTGGCAAATAAATAAATAAATAAATAAATTCTCAATGGTGGAGTGAACCTAGCCCTTCATTCCAGTGTTGGAAGCAAAGCCCTTGCCCTGTATCTTATACTTTCTGATGATAATGATCACACCGTTTACTGGTCACAAATTTGTAAATTGTAGGTTTTGAACGATGTTTTTCAAATGTGTATGAAAAATGTACTCTCTAATCTTTCTTAGAATCCTCTTGGCAAAACTTCTGTGGAAGGTCTTAAACAAAAAAAAAAAAGTCACCATTAAAAACAGCGACACTCCCTGGCTAAACTTCCCCTTGGCTCGTGGACACGTGTGAAAAAATGAGCACGTGTGCTGTTCTTGCAGCATAAGGCACAGCCAGTGTGTACTTATAGCACACAGCGGCATTGGTGCGGGTCACAGTAAGGTTTGTCTGACCATTCAGGAAGTGGATCTGGGAGAGTGGCAGGATCCCCGCAGGTGTGTCTGCTCAGGCTCTCCCAAGGGAGGGAGGGAGCGTAATTCCAGGGAGTGGTTTAAAAATGGAGCCATGGAAACAAAGTATATTTCATATTGCCTGATGCATCATGAAGGGACATTGAGGACCCTTCCCTTCCTGCCTTCCTCACTGTTGCTGTGACAGAGCCAAAGTCTGTCTTGATAAAAGTCGGGGCGGGGGGCCGTGAAAGGCATCTGGCAGTGTGAAGGCAGAAATAAGTGGGTTGGGGGCCAGATGGCGTTCAGATGCTTAGAAAGGCTGGTAGCTGTGACTTGGGCATCAGGAAACATACAAAGTCCCTGGTCAGGGCCTTGCTGTGAAATGCCCGGGCCCTTCCTACAGGGCCAGTGCTGTGGAGTTCCCTGCCGTTCAGCAAGTGTGTGCCGTGAGCTGGGGGATGCCCCAGTCCTCCTGGGCTGGTAAGAGAGCCCAAAGATAGTCACAGCAACGAATCATGCAAGAATTCTCATAGCAGTGGGGGACACTCAGGTGGTGCTGTGAACATCAGAGCAGCACGCCTGACCCTATGCGTAGATGGAAGGGATCTTGTTAAATTCTCATAACACCTCTATTATATTGGGCAATATTACCTAATTGTAAAGAAAAGGAAACTGAGGCATTAGGAGGCTAAGTGGTTTGCCCAACATTACCAGGTAGTAAGTGGAAGAACCAGTAGTCTTGCTCCAAAATCTAAGTTTTAAAGCAGGATACTGCATTTCCAACTGACATCTGGGCAATAGCATCCTTATGCATTATGAAGAAAAACCTCCCAAAACCAAAAAAAAAAAAAAAAAAAAAATTTCATTCTTTTTGTAGAGAATCATTCTTTTTTTTTTTCTCCCTTTGTGCGCAGTCTTTATTTCAGTTTTCTTTTTCTTTTTCTTTTTTTTTGAGATGGAGTTTCACTCTTGTCACCCAGGCTGGAGTGCAATGGTGTGATCTCTGTTCACTGCAACCTCTGCCTCCCTGGTTCAGTCAATTCTCCTGCCTCAGCCTCCTGAGTAGCTGGGATTATAGGTGCACCACCACGCCCAGCTAATTTCTGTATTTTTTAGTAGAGATGGGGTTTCACCATGTTGGCCAGGTTGGTCTATAACTCCTGACCTCAGGTGATCTGCCCACCTCAGCCTAGCAAAGTGCTGGGATTACAGGCGTGTGCCACTGTCCCCAGCCTATTTCAAATATTTGTTAAAACACCATTGTTATTCCTCAGGACAAGAGCAAAAAACAGCCCCCAGAGCATAGCTTGCGTGGTCCCCGATTGCAGGCTCCGTTTCTGGAAGGTTCAGGTACAGTGCGGGAGTCCATTTGTCTACTTGGCTACATCCCCGGCTGAGGTGTCATGGGGTCAATGTCACTCAAGTTCCTGGCAAACCAAACTCCCGCAAACAGTCCCAGATTGAGGATCAGGTTCCTCTGGAATCATTCCTATCAATGGCAAAGCAGTGGACACCCCACGACAGTCTCCCCCATTGTCAGGAACTTCAGGAGCTTCATTGGCTAAGTCTGCAGCATTCAGGGTGACCCGGTTGGAAGCCAGAGTAGTTGAGAATCATTCTTTTGGAGACAAGACTGAAGAGCATTTCCTGGTTGATCTCAGCAGGAAGTTCTCAAGGTGGCTGCTCCTTGATGGTGTGAGAAGCACATTCTCTTTAGAACTGCAATCACCAAGCACCTATCTGCAACTAGGGCTACAGTGAGTTTGCCTCGATTATTGCTAAATTGCAGTTTACCTGATGCCTCACTTGTGATTTCGTTTGAAAATTTTAAAATACCAAGAAACAGGAAGAAAAAAAGTAAAATTCACTTTAAATCCCACCACTTAGAAGAATTCCGTGGAGGAAAACTGAAGGCCAGTCACCGCCCCGTCTCCCCCAGCCCAGGGAGTCAGTGTTGACAGGCGGTGAGTTTCCACCCTTCCTCTACAGACGGAGCTTGCTGACTAAGGGAAAAACTTCAAGCTTTTACAGTTCACTTCATTCAGAGGTCTTACTGAGGACTACAGCCCAGGAGAAGTCTTTCAGAGAGTTCCTGTCAGATGCTCTAGAACACCATTTTGGCTCAGAATTTACATGCGGGTCATGGAGGTTCAGTGCAAAATCACATCAAGCTTGTTTGTAAGTTACATGAAAGCAGAATCAATCGCATCAAGGTGTGGGAGCAGGAGCACATCTGGTTATAGAGTGCAGTGGAACAATCACCAACCCTGTCAGACGTTATCTTCCATGTGGGAAAAGGCAAGGCTAGAGGTATTCAATACTTTTTTTAAATTTTTTTTATTTTGAGACAGAGTCTCACTCTGCCCTGCAACCTGGAGTGCAGTGGCATGGTCAGGGCCCACTGCAGCCTCTGCCTCCCTGCCTCAAGTGATCCTCCCACTTCAGCCCCCCTAGTAGCTGGGACGACAGGCATGCGCCACCATGCTAGGCTAATTTTTTGTATTTTTAGTAGAGATGGGGGTCTCTTGCCATATTGCCCAGGTTGGTCTCGACTCCTGGACTCTAGTGATCTGCCTGTCTTGGCCTCCCAAAGCTCTGGGATTACAGGCATAAGCCATTGCGCGTGGCCAAGTTATTCAGCTTTCAAGGAAAGACGTGACTCAGGCAAGAGGCATGGGGGCTTCTCGGGCTCCATGTGCTCCATCCTGCTTTATCTTCAAAGCACCTTTCCAGGGAGCTGCACGGGCTCCCAGTCAGGGGTTTTGTGAAACGATGTTGGTAAGCAGAAATAAGCATACCTGGCTTCTTACCTTTCTTACGAGCCATATACAAAAATATCAGGCAGGATGACCTTCTGAAGCACCAAGAATGCATGTTTCCCCCACATTCTTCCTTTCAACCCCTATTCTGGCGACCATTGCCAGCTGAGTGGCCAAAGGGGAACCAG